GCTGACAGGAGTGGAGACCAGGCAGGTGAGATAGGAACAGTCCTCAAGTTAAAGTCATTTCTGTATAACACTGCCATAAATGCCTGAGGCACTCAGCAAAACCCCCTGTGCACAGGGCGAGACGCATCCACTGAGGCTGGAGCTCTTCGCTGCACTCGATCCTTATGGAAAAAATCTACCTTACCTGTCTGGGCCTGGCTTGGTGATGCCATCCTGGAAGGGATACAGAGGAGATACACTTGATGCTTCCTTTCCCCGAGGACAGCTGAGGGGGCATGGTTTACCTGACAGCTGCCACACCCTGTCCCCTTACTTCCCTTCTCTCCCTCATGGGCCCCTGAGGAGGGACTGGGACAGCTTGTCTCAGTGTCCCCCAGAACCCCTAAGGTTACCTTGTGGCTGCTCTCAGGGTCACACCGACAGGAGGTGTCTCTCAGCTGTCAGCCGTGACCTCTTCTCCCCTCCCGCTGTTCCCCAGAGGGGGCCACTTTTCTGAAAAAGCAGGAAGGAAACCACCTCTAACTTGGGAGAGGTCAGGGAGGGATCCAGCATTCCCATGCCCTGGTGAGCTGAACTAACACAGCTAGCTCTCCTGAAGATTCCCCAGGTTCTGCCTGTCTGTTTGGGGGGCAGAATGTGACAGCTGTCAATCAAATAGCTCCATCTCCAGACATTCTGCCAAACTACTGCCATGACAGCTGCAGCTGTCCTAGATGTCCCTCATGCACACCAAGTCCCTTCCATTCTGACTGCACTGGACTTGAATTTGAATTAAGCAATAGAATTGAATATGGACCAATCAGAGGGTTGAGTTTAGATCAACTTAGACCAATTGGTGGCTTGAATTTGGACCAATCATAGGCTGAAATTTGGACCAATCAGCAGGCTTGAAAATAGACCAATCACAGACCTACAGCTGCTATATAAGCAGCAATTCTTTTGCACTTCTTGGGTTGGTCTGTGAGGGCTCCCACTTGTGTGCTGTCCTCACTGGGCTGCAGCACAGGTCCTGTTTTATTACATCCTTTCTCTCATGTTCCTATAAATCTACTTGTGATTTAATTCGCAGTTAATGTAGGCTTGGAAGTTCCTATAAATCTGCTCAGGATTCTTATTCCAAGTAGTCTGGACAGAGCATCTGGTGCTAACTGGTGTTGGTTGGCAGCATTAGGGCCCAGAACTTAACACTGTGGCCTAAGGGTTACTGGTGCTCAAAGCCCACAACCAGTAGAGAGCTGCCCTTGGCTGATTTTCACAACAGAAGGAAATGCTAATTTAATCAGAATCCGGGCAGGAGCCACCACTGAGTCTAAAGGACACGCCTGCCTTTAAGCTGGGACCAAGGCTGTGGAGACTGAGTGTGCATGGGAAGCCTGCACAGTCAGCAGTGTCAGCCCTGGCCAGCTGCTGAATAGGACTGGGACCACTCAAAGCCACCAGGTCCTTAGAGCCATGCAGCAAGGTGTTTATCTCTTCGGGGGTGGCCAACGCCATGGGGAGCGTGCCTCTGCCAACACCTCAATTTGCACACACACTCGCCCTCTCCTAACAGCAGCCCAATCTCCCTCCTTCCGGGCCTCTTTCCTGCAAACCACTGCTGCAGGGTGCAGGGCAGCGCCCCCACTTGGAGGACCAGAGAAATGCAGCTCTGTCCTGACCACAGCTTGCTATGGTGCACAGGACAACCAAGGAGGTCTGTTTGCAATCTCCACACCCCTTCCCACTGCATTCAGCAGGATATGTGCACCTCCCCCACACCAGAAGGACCTCCAAGGACCTGCGAGCCTGATGTAGCCTGGGTTCCTCTGTCCTCCCTCTTCTGCTGGATCTCAGCAGCCACCGCCCACTTCTGCAGCATTCTGCTGTGACACCTTGAAAGCTGCAGCTCCCCAGCCTGAAGTGCA